TTATTAGCAATTCTCTGGCTGCTAAAGTGGGGCTTCATCCGCGAGAAGGGAGGTCGTTTGAGGTGGCAGTAGCCAGTGGAGAACGGTTGACCAGTCCAGGCCAGTGCAATTGGGTCACGCTCCATATTCAAGGTATACCGCTTCAATTAGGTTTCTATTTGTTACACTTGGATGGATATGAGATCATCCTATGCACTCAATGGCTTAGCACCTTGGGCCCCATTATCAGGGACTTTTCCCAGCTTCAAATGCGTTTCACAGTTTTGGGAAAAAAGGTATGTTTGTAGGGCTTAGCATCTTCACAAGATAAGCTTGTAGAGAACTTTTTCTTGGAACATGTATTAAAACAAGGGTGTCCAGAGGTGGTCTTGTTAATGATACCCCACAAGTCAAACCGATCAACGAATCATTACTTGCAATACTTGAGGAATATGTTGACATCTTCTCTGAACCAGATAGCCTGCCACCACCATGTCAGCATGATCATCACATCCCGCACCTTCCTGGGGCTGGACCTGTCAATGTACGCCCATACCGGTACCCTCATTTCCAAAAAGATGAGATTGAAAAGTTGGTGAGCGACTTACTAAAATCAGGAGTCATTCGGCGTAGCACAAGTCCTTATTCCTCACTTGTGTTATTGGTCAAGAAAAAAGACGAGTCATGGAGGATGTGCATCGACTATAGAGCTCTCAACAAAGTGACCATTAATTATAAGTTTCCAATTCCGGTGATAGATGAGTTGCTCGGTGAATTACATGGTGCTCTTTTCTTCTCAAAGTTGGACTTACACTCTAGCTATTATCAAATTCAAGTCCATCCTCATGATATCCACAAAACAGCCTTTCGAACACATAGTGGGCATTATGAATTTCTAGTCATGTTGTTTGGCCTGACTAACGCACCCTCCTCATTTCAAGCCCTCATGAATGACATCTTTCGTGAGCATCTCCGTAAGTTTGTCCTTGTCTTTTTCGATGATATACTAATCTATAGCAAGTCATGGGATGACCATTTACAACATTTGAAAGTTGTCTTTGATATCTTACGAACTAACAAGTTATTTGTGAAAAAGCAAAAATGTCATTTTGGTGACACACAGGTAGCTTACTTGGGCCATATCATTACTCGCCAAGGAGTAGCGGTAGATCCAGAAAAGGTTACGGCTATGCTTAATTGGCCAAAACCTACTACATCCAAGGCGCTTCGAGGTTTGCTTGGCCTCACTGGTTATTATCAAAAATTTATTCAGGACTACGGGAAAATCGCCGGACCACTCACAAAAATGCTAAAAAAAGATGGGTTTGTTTGGTCCCAAACTGTTGAGGAAGCTTTCCACAACTTAAAGCAAGTGATGGCAAAGGCACCAATTCTAGCCTTACCTGATTTTTCAAAAAGCTATGTGGTGGAATGTGATGCGTCTGGCTCTGGAATTGGCGCTGTGTTATTATAGGACAAGAGGTCAATAGCATTCTTTAGCAGAGCTCTTATTGGAAAAAATCTTCTCATGTCAACCTATGACAAGGAGATGCTTGCACTAGTCTCTGCGGTCCAAAAATGGAGGCCTTACTTGTTAGGAAAGATTTTTATCATCCGTATGATCAACGAAGTCTTAAGTAGTTGTGGGAGCAAAGGATCACCACTCTTGCACAACAAAAATGGCTATATAAACTGATGGGGGGTTCAATTTCACCATAGAGTACAAACAAGGAAGAGAAAATATAGTTGCAGATGCGCTTTCATGAAGCACCTATGAAGGAGAGGTTTAAGCCATTTCTTCTCCTGTTCCGCAGTGGATTTCGGCCATCAAAGAAAAAGCGGCAACTAAGCCCAAGCTCCAACGACTAGTCCAGTTATGTTTAAAGGACAATGCCATTGGTCCATGGAGATACCATGAAGGTGTACTTTTTTTTAAAGAACGCATTTATCTTGTAGATGACTCACCACTCTTGCAGGACATACTATCCCAATTCCATAATAGCACACACGAGGGATTTGTCAAAACGCTTCAGCGCTTGAAGGCAGTATTTTATTGGACTGGTCTTAAGCAGCTACTCAAGGAATTTATCAAGAGGTGTGATGTCTGTCAACGCAACAAAGCTGAGCACAGACAACCAACTGAACTTCTCCATCCACTCCCAATTCCTACGCAAGTTTGATCGCACATTAGCATGGATTTTCTGGAAGGACTTCCACTCTCTCACGACAAGTCAACAATTTTGGTGGTAATAGATCGCTTATCTAAATATAGCCATTTTGGTCAATTAAATCGTCCATATACGGCTACAGGGGTTGTCGTGTCTTCTTTGATAAAATATTCAAACTTCATGGTATGCCTGAGTCATAGTATGTAACCGAGACCTACGCCGTCTCAAAAACGTTTGTGATCCTAAACAAGAGTTATTTTGAAAGCCTTTTAATAATATAAACATATATTAAAAAAATTATTTCAAATTTATTTTTCTTACCTTTTGAGATGTAAAATCACTAGTAGAAGTGGACGACGACCGACGAGCTAACGGGGTCAGGTTGGTGAGGGGTTTTGGAGAGCAGATGCTAGGAAGCGATGGGTTGTGAAATGGGTGATTTCTAATGCTAGGATTGATTGGAAAAGGCTCAAGAAGTTGCGGCCCAAAAGGTATCGGTGGCTGGCAATTGGCAGAGTAAACAGATGAGGTATGATAGGGTTTTGGTGAGAGCGCTGAAGGGAGGAAGATGGTGGCGTCGGGGAAGGCCAACAACGCCGGGTACATGTCAAAAAGGCTAGAAATGGCTGTCGCGCGTGGTGGAGTTATGTTGCGAGATTAGTAAAAAAATTGGTCAAATCAAAGGTTATCAAGGCTGGGAAAACACTTGGGAAATGAAAAAGTGATGATTCCGATCGATTTTGGTGAGAAAATCAACCGGAATCAACTCCAAACGATCGGCGGCGAAAGAGGGATGGAGATGATTTATGTCAATGTCGAAATTTAGGATTGAATTGGGGGTGAGTAATTTGAGATATGTAAATGACCATTTTAGCTTTTCATTGTTAAAAGAAATTCAATGTGTTAATTTAGAGGTGTAAATTGAAATATATATGAAACTAGAGGTATAAACTTGTTATTTCATTAAACTTTCGGTGGAAATATATGTAAAAAATTTATAATAAATTTAAGTTTTTTCGGCTTTTTTTTTTTTTTTTTTTGCCCATTGGACTTATCTGGATAAAAAATTATACACTATTTTTATTTTTGTAATATATGAAAAAAAACATTTACAAAAAAAAATTGGCCTTTTTTCCCTACCGGGACCCGACCTTCACAAGTGTGTTTTGGAAGGAGCTTTTTCAACTACATGCGACTCAATTCAATTTTAGCTCCGCATACCACCCGCAAACCGACAGGTAAATAGAGGTAACTAATCGCACCATGGAGATGTATCTCCGCTGTTTCAGAGGAACCAGGCCCAAAGAATGGATGCAATGGCTGACATGGGTAGAGTATTGCTATAACACAAGTTGGCATTCCGCAATTAAGACGACCCCGTTTGAGGCAGTGTATGGCAAGGCCCCTCCAACTCTGTTATCTTATATTCCCAGCACTGCAAGGGTACAAGCTGTCAAAGATGAGTTGCTTCAAAGAGATAAGGCACTGAAGGAATTGCGTCAGACTTTGAAGAAGGCTCAATCTCGTATGAAACGAGTTTATGATGGGATTCACAGGGAAAGGGAATTTTCATTAGGAGATTGGGTCTATCTTAAACTTCAGCCATACAAGCAAGCTTCCCTTGCCCTCAGGCGGAATATGACACTTGTTCCTAAGTATTATGGCCCATTTAAGATAATAGAGAAGCTTGGGCGAGTTGCTCATAAGCTTGACTTGCCAAAGGATTCAAGGATACATCCTGTGTTCCATGTTTCATTGCTCATACCAAAGATTGGGGATTCTATGCATGTCATAGCACAACTTCCAGAACTAGATAAAGAGTCTCGTATGGTTCCAACTCCTCAAGCAATACTAGACAAGCGCATATGGAAAGGGAAAGCTGAAGCACTAGTACAGTGGGTTAGACTATCTCCTATAGATGCCACGTGGAAAAGCCTTGAAGAACTAAAGATGAGGTTTCCAAAGATAGCCCTTGAGGACAAGGGCTCTTTTTGAGGAGGAGGAGGGGATATTACGAACCAATTTGTTATGATGGTGTTGGTTATGTCGCAGTGCCTTATTTTATGCATGAGTCTTTTGTATTTTCCTTGTTCAAGTCCTAGTTTTTAGCAAGTAACCCACGTCCGTGTAATAGACAAAGGGGGTGTAGTTGAGTCAGTTTAATTCCTAGTCTTTAGCAAGTAACCCACGTCTGTGTAATGGGCAAAGTGGCAGTAGTTGAGTCAGTTGCATTAGAGTCTATAAAAAGAAGAATGAATGAATGTAAGGCATAGAAATTTATCTCCAAAAAAGCTGTGTACAGTAGGGATTGGATCCCTTTAACAATCTACCCATATAATCTCACTCATCATTGGTCGACCAAAGAAGAATCCCAAACCCACTCAACCACCAACTCGCTCCTTAACTCGATTCCAAGTCCATCTCCAAAACCCAAGTCATAACACATACAAATCCTTTGATTTAACTTGGAATTCTTCGAATTTATAATCTTCAGACCAATCAACTCATAAAAGTATCTCGTAACTTTACCGAACCGCACCATTTAGTTTGGTCCCATTTAGATTTTTGAGTTTTTGGGTTTTGGTTTTGCACAGCCTCAATGCAAGCAACCGCTAATCAATTAAAGACCCTCCTACAAGTTTTTTTTAAATTGCCAATTTATGTTAGGAGCTCATTTCGGGATTTCACACATACAAAGTATGGTACTTAAATTTAGGAGTTTTTCAACTTATCAAGCCAATCAGTCTTTTGGGTTGAAACTTCTATTGGGCTTGAGTCCCAACAATAGTATATTTTAACCTAATTTAAAGATCACCCAACTAAAAATACCGATATGATGGGTGAAAGAACCCTTAAACTTAAGCATCCAACGTGAGATCCTCACAGTTAAGGCTGGCACTTGGCACAAATATGTTCCGAACTTGAAATGACTCTGGCCACTCATTCATCCCCAGTTGAAGACACATATAAAGTTTTTATATTGCCAACTCAATTCTTTTTTCGTACTTCCATTTCTTAAAGTAGCCAATAGCCGCCAACCCTACGTTCTTTTCATTTATTATACATTCATTCATTTCTTTATTTTCTGAAAGAAATCTTCTCCATTCTTTGTTTTGAGTTTGAGAAATGGAGAAACCGGGACCGGGACCGGGAGGTTTTTTTGGTGATATGGAAGTGTTGTTTCTACAAAAGGACATACGGATAGAGCAGAGTGAGTTCTGTTTTGAGTACAAGGAGAATGCTCACCATCAATTTATGCTTATATCTTCACTAAACGATCACTCTATTTTGATCCCTTCAAAGGCACTTGCTGCCTTCTTGGATGTTTTGGAAGGCTTTTGTTCTGATTTTGAAAACAACCAACAGAATAAGAAAATTAGCAAACCAAAACAACTTAAGATCGATGACAAAGTGGTATGTGTACTGTAGCTTTCATTGCTCTTTTTTTTCTTTTGGGACAGTTTTTTTATTCATGGGTTTCAACTTCTGAGTTGGAAAGCTTTTTCTTTGAGGTTTTATTTTATTGGTTCTTTTTCTTTTTCTTTTTCTTTCTGTTGTGTAGGAGTTTCGCTTTATGGTTGGACAGAACAAATGGGGCCAGTTTCTAAAGGTAAAGTAAAATGGTTGTCTATTATCTCCACCTATTTTTAAGTGCTTGTAAATCATAATAGTACCTTTGACTTGTTGGGAGAGTTTTTATTTCAAAGGTCAGTGGCCATTTCGTTGTAAGCATTTTAGAAATTTGTTGGAAGGTTGAGGAAAACTACTAAAAAGTATCATCAATTCAAAGAACTAAAATGGGCTGGAAAATCAGCTATCTTAGATTCATGAATGCTGTAGAGGTTGCTTGGCCAAGTGTGGGTTTTATGTATATTATGAAGTTATACATGACTGGTGATGATTTTGATATCTTTTAAATTAAAGGTGAAGAAGTGAGATATGTGGATTGTTAGAATCCACGTTGTGTATATGAATATTTGCCATGGAACTTTGCACTATTACAGGAACTTTTCTGCTGGGTATTTGTGTGTCAATGTAGAAATATAAGCTCAATGCTGAGCCTTGAGATGTGCTTCTTGAAATGATCTAGCACTCTCCTTGAAATATGAATAATTAAGCAGAAGAACTGTATCTTGAGATGTTGAACCTTTGCATATACTTGATTTTCAAGACACCTACTTATTATTTCTTTTTCACCTCCACAAACAAAAGTTTTTTCTCAATGATTTTGTTGGATTTGCTTGGGTCATCTTTTTTATATTTCAAATAATTTACTATAATATGATTGCTGCAGAGTAACAAAACCACTATTAGGAAATTTAGGCTTCAAATTAGTAGCATTTCAACTTTAAATAATCCCATGATTGGGATTGAAATCATTTGAACTTAGCATTCTGTGGAGTCCAGGACACTTTGAACCTTCTCATCTTGTATTTGTGATGTGGTTTTCTACAAATTTGAGCTTTGCTTTCCGGTGCAGTCTTGAATACTTTCGAACTTTCTCATCATATATCTTCAGGTATGGTTTTATACACAAGCTTTTATCGTCAATTTTTTTTTTTCTTTTTCTTGGGAAGCATTACTTCACTCATGTTTTTCTATGTACCTCAGCACATTCTTCATCTGAAGTTGTGCTCCTGTCCCAACTGAACAAGTTATTGATCAAAATTTTTTAGGATTTCTGCTGATTGAGCTTACATGTTGCATTTTCTTTTCTACTTATCTGCACTGTGGTCATTTTTGTTTCTTTATTTTCACCTTTCAGAAATATGCCTTGTCTTTATTTGTTTTGATCAGTAATAAGAGTGAGAGAAATCAACAAATATTGATATGATATAGTGCATTTTGAGCTGTCTTAGTTCTGTTGTGTTTGATGGTTGCAACGTTCTGCTTGCAGGTTTGGAAAGCGTCATCAAGGGAAGCAAAAAACACCATATTCATTCCTTCAGAAAACAATGGTTGGGAACATTTCAGAAAGACATTAGTGGAGCTTGCTGACACTGCAAAACATATGTGCCCTCCTTTTGAGGTCTTGGCTTTTCTGTTTTATTTTCTGTGGTAATAGTTGGTTTCTCTTTCAAGAAAAGATCTTAATGGATTCTTCTTCTACTTGTGATGACATAGACAAGATTTGATCCTTTGAAACGACCAAACAAGGTATCAGATGCCAAAGTTGACTCCACTGATAGTCCAAGTGCTGAAAATTTGACAGTGGCAGAGTTATATATAGAACCTTCACAGAATGATAATACTGGCATTGGGGAATCAAAAATGCTGAGAGCCGGCTTGAAGAAATTCTACTTTGATCTTGGAAGCAATAAGAAGGGCAATTTCTTAAAGATATCTGAGGTAAATTTATCATAGTATATTAATGATTCTTAGATACTAGTACTTCGTATTTTTTCAAAATCTCTTTTGTATTGAAATTGCAGGTGATGAATGGTTATCGTTCATCCATCATAATCCCATTGGCAAGATTGCAGCAGTTCCATGAAATGGTTGGTCATTTCATCCAGAACAAAAATGAAACATCAGCTAGTACTAGTAAACATTCTGGTTCAGGAAGGTAAACTGAGAGCTGGACTTTTGAAAGAAACTAAGGTGGAAAAAGACTTAAATGTTACTTAGTGTTTGGCCTCACACATCAAAACCAATATCAGTTTTCATATTACCCTTATATATGGAAGCTTGAACAAGAACTTCATACAGCCTGTTAAGATTGCAGTATATACTAACATCAGAGCTCATTAATGGGGACTCAATCTTTGATATTTGGCTATTTGCTGCTAGATTGATGTTGTTGAATGCATGGTTTTATGTTAAGAAAGTTTTAAGTGTACAATTCTTGTTCAATGGTTCATAACCATGGTATATTGGTATTTTCCTATAACACTGAATCACCCTATGGTTGGAGATAAATTATCGCTTGGAAAAACTGGAACATCATTAAGCAGGGAACCAACAGTTGCAGGACATTTTCTTATATCATGCCAAGTCATGTTGGTCAGTCCACTCCCATGTGGACCACTGAAAGTGGCTCTTCAGAACCATGGGAAATTATTAAAAGGAGATAAAAATTAATACAGTTATTCTGACAATTAATCAAAAATATACTGTATTCTACTTTGTGTATTTTAAAATGATACTATATTGACAAATTAGATTTAAAGCTCCTTTGTAGTATGATATCATGTCATAAATTTTTAATTATCCATCTCCATAACCTCAAGCTCACTGTCAAATTTTGGTCCAAGTTTTGTTTATATTGAATGAGGCATTGATATTGAGAAAGTTAAGCTCACTTAAGATGATCAAGACTTAAAATTTCGAGTTTGTGCTAAATAAGTCCCATTTTTTTTACTTGGGAAAAATTATCAAAGAGAAAAATAAATGCTATTAACTTGTTACCTAGTAATTTCCAACCAGATATCTAGCTCCATCTCAATTTCTCAAATCTTTGTCACTGCTCTCTCCTTCTTTTTCATAAATTATCGTCATCAACTACCACTGAATGATCTTATAATAAAGGAGTAAAGAAGTACTTCATAGATTCTTAAGTTCTGATGGTAAAAGAGCAAAGAGGTTCATTACAGGTTCTTAAGTTTAACTCTTCCTAGACACTAATAAGGATGATCACCGAGAGAATTTACCCAATTATTCGTTTAAAAACCTTAAAAGACTAGTTTGAACATACTAAAAAAACAAAAAACAAAAAAAACAAAAAGGTTGTGCTAACGGTAATGAATGGCAGACAGTTGTTGCATAATCTAGTGACATGTGTCCAGAGTAATACAACATTGTTTTCATTCGAAAGGAAATGAAGCTTACTTAGACAGTGCAGAAACTGTTTCATTTGTTTTGTTGTTTATGCATGCTTTTCTGAGATTAATGGCCTAGTAATAATACTGGCCACCAAAGGAGTAGGGTCAAAACTTTCCATCAAATGATTTTACAACATTTGTTAAAACATATTTAAAAATAATAATAAATAAATCTCTTCAAAACTCTTGATTACCATGTCAAATCATATGGGTTAGAGGCTGCTTTTAAAATTCGAACAGATGTATGAAGCAGGTTCTTGAATGGACAAGACCCTAGACACATGGGATAACAAGAGAGGGGCTTCCAGATTTTGAATCTTGAATAATGTCAAAAATCCAATTGATGGGAAAGGAAGGCCATGGACAAACGGTGGACACACCGTGGACACACGGAAAGAAAAGAGAACAGAGTTTTCAATTTCAAAGCCTATATTTTGGGTAATGCAATGCTAGAAGTAAGAAAGGCCACGTTCCCTCGACAGCCGACGCACGCAATATCTTATCCAATCTTTGCTTTTACCCTTTAACAAGTGTTTTTAATAAGTGCTTTCTCTGTTCAATCAATTTAGCTCACAGCATATGCTAATGCACCATCTGCTTTTGTGGACCAGTCTATCAGAAAGGGACACAAACTATAAGTTTTGATTTCTCCAAATTTTGTAATGCTAATGGCCAAATTTTATGGTGCTCTTTGTGGCCCTGGATTGTGTTATCAACCATCAGATCAATTGGTTTTTGGCTGTTGGCCACAAGGAAAGCTCTATACTTTTCTTGAAATTTCTATGATCTTTTCAACAGTTCATTAACTTAACAGAAAGAGAAAAAGATTATTTCAAACTATCAGGAAGGTGACATTTTTCGTTCCCTTCCCATTTGCGACGTCGGTTTTATGGTTTCCATTTTGTATAATTCTGCATTTTTTCCTTCAAGGGTCATATTCATTCCTGAGGCTTCTCAAATATCCTGATAGTGTATCATTAAATATCATATTGTCTATATATCAAAAATAGCAAATTATTCTGATGACTAAACCCAGTTTGAATCATGAAATGGAATCTCATAGTATAGTGTTTTCACCAGAATGCTCGAGAAATAAAAGAAAAATCATCTTATATCACATACTCAATTTAATACAAGTGCTCAATAGTGCTCCTATATATAGATTTTATCAACCAGAATGCTCGAGAAACTAAAGAAAAATCATCTTTATATCCACATACTACAGATTTAATACAGACTCATATTTTAGCTCTATATATACTATATATATATATATATATAAGAGCTTTTATGGATTAAAGTACTATTTCATCACCTCAATAGAAAACTACAAGAATTTTACACCACAAAGGGCTAGCCTCCAACAAGAGCAAACCACAAACACAAAAGAGAAAAATTTTGGCTCTTCAACAACCCTTGAGAATCAGCAACTAGATCCAAAAAAAATAAATCCAAGAGCCTGCAATTCCTTGGACACCAGACATATGATTAAACCTCTACTATTTTGTTCCACTTTTTCTGGCATTGGGTATTTTAGCCAATGAAAGAAACACACAAATGGACCTGTACAGGGTAATGGAGGACGGTGTGGGCTGGCAAAAACTAACCGCATATCGTCTCCCAAAGCACTACGTTTTTTCTTTACTGTCTTGACCTAGATTTTAAGGTGTTGAAGGTAACGAGTAAGACGTACAGATCTGAGATTGTATGAGGTTGGTGACCTACATGTGGTACAGGTAATTCCACTTCGGCAGGGCCGTGTTGTTGTGGTTTTGGTTATAGTTTAAGGAGAGGTCTTTGTTACAGCCAATCACTCGAGTTCTTTTTCCTCAGCCCTTATTGTGGCTCAAGGCTGCAACGGTCCTAGTGTGCTTAGCCAAAGGCATCCTTTAAATTTCTTGATCGGGCTATATGTCACATAAAGAAGTAAAACGTCAGTATGGTGGAAGCGAATATCACAAGATAAATGAGTGTATATTACAAAATATGCGCACAAAACTGAATCTCTTGAAGAGTACGGCACAACTGGTTTGTATATACCTTTTTCTGGGGAAATTAAGCTCTCATTATTTTGATCCATGGTTCTTAGTTATTTCAAACGATAATAAATTTGACAAATGAAACAACCTCAGATCCATATGGAAATACATATGTTTCAGTGATTGGAACTGGGTAATTACAACAACATAATATTCATTAACTAATCATTCATGATTCCTATGGTCTTCACTGGCAGTTTAAAGAACAATAACATGATCCTAAAATTAGATAACAAGATCGCACGCACGAACTAACCGTGGCATTATGCAGCTAAAAGCTACTACGGCGCCCCTGAGCCCACTTGTAAAACCGAAAAACGGCAGCACATGACATTGTACCTATACACATGGAATTTGTGCTCCTCTACTTCACCTGAAGAAACTGCACATCTGGGTGCAGCTCTGCCAATTGACTATCTGCCACAAGACAACAAACCCCCGATTCATAAGACTTAATCTGACTTTAAACCTAACATAAAAGTTACTGACATAAGTTCGCCCACAGTCACATTCATATGTTCGAAGATATACCTTGGGATGGAGAGCTTTGCCGCCACCACAACCACGAACAAAGAAATCAACAACAACAAGTTTGTCCCCACATTCAGAAGTAAGTCTACAGATCTTGTGCAGAGTCCACCTCGTCTCATGTTTAGTGTTGCAAGCCCCTTTATCCCAACACTTTTGGGGATTTCCCTATAAGGCCGATTCTGCTAACAGATCAAAGAGCAAATTTTTATTTAATTCATACTAATCATCAAATCAAACATACCCTATCAAAATCATACCACAGAAAGCAATTAAACACGTGCAGATAAACATGTCCCAGGAACTTTACCGGGGTGATAATAAAGAAACAAGAACAAATCAAATTTAATCTTTAAATTACATATGTATGCCAAGTTTTAGCTTAACAATATGGATATCAACCTATGAGCGGAAAATTAAAAATCCATATAATTTTTCATTTAAAAGAAACCTAAAACGCTCAAAGTTTGATCTTAAAGACACCTAAACAATTAAAGACCGAACAATATTTTTAATTGAATATAAAATTTGGTGACCTACCTGTGCTTTAATGAGCCTTTTGATAATTCCTCCTCTCGGGAAAACCCTTATTTCTGCTCAGAACAACGCCTATTCATTAAAACTCACTGCTCAACGATGAAGAACGTCTCACAAGCATGTGATTTTCAATTCACTGGAAACCCCTCATATAACATAAAGCGGACACGTTTTGAAGCAGAGATAGGCCAGTACCATGTTGATTTGGTTACACGCTGAAAAACAGATTTGCTTTGCACCACCTCACCATCTTTCTCACAACACAAAAAAGAAGAAAAACACTTGCCCAAACAAAGAAAGCATTTCATAGGAACCCAGAGAAAAAAGAACAAGATTTTTTTGAAAGAGGATGTTTCTAATGTGAAAATACGTTCGTGAAACGAACCCAAAACAAAAGTAGTTAAAGGATTGGATTTTAGTTGCTTAAACAACAATAACACAGCTGTTCTTGATTTATAAGAAACAGTTTCAAAGAAATCCCCGAAACTGAGCAAGCCAGCAAAATATAGCTTTCTGAAAACGAGAAAACAGTTTCAAAGAAGAAAATGCCAACCTGTTTCTTACAGATTGAATTTTTATTGCTTTCTATTTCAGTAAAGTGATTATTTTTTAGAAAGCAAAATCATTTGCGTGTTATTTATTTAAATAAAGAAGATTGATAATCCTGACCGTCTATTTTAATCAGCTTGATCCGAACGTCCCAGAT